CGACGCTGCCAAGGTGGCCCCAGAGGCCCCCAATACCGCCCCAAGAAGTCCAAAGAGGCCCCCAAGAGGGCCCCAAGACGGTCCGAGAGGGCTCCAAGACGGCCGAAGAAGCGCCCAAGATCGCCCAAGAGGGCCCAACACCGAAGCAGCGTGGGCCCACCTGGCCATGCTGCCCAAGTGCGCGCTGCGCCCGCACAGCCGCGGAGGCCGAGGCAGCCGGAACGCGAGCGAGCAGGAAGCCAAGAACCTCTGCCGCCGCTGGCTGGAGGGAGAGCGCCAGACACTCTGGGCGGAGACAACAGAACGACGCCAGACAGGGGGAACGGACAAGGCGACTCACCGAGCACAGCGCTGCCTCGACCTGGCGGCGGAGGGGCTCCACTCGAAAAGCTGCGCTTCGCTGACGTCGGAGCCGCCTGTGTCCGTCGCGCCGGCCGTCGTGGACCAGATGGGCCGCAAGCACCCGCGCAGCCAGCAACCAGTAGTGGACCTGGCTAGCCTGCCTGCTGCCCACGCGGCCGCCGCCGCCCAGGTCGACGCCTCTGTCGTGCAAAAAGAACTGCGGGCCTTCCCAAAGGGCTCAGCCGCCGGCCCCACTGGCCTGCGCCCACAGCACCTGCAGGACGCCCTGGCGACGGCAGCCCTCCGGGACGAGGTCGTCGAGCAGCTCGCTGGTCTCGTTAACCTGCTCGCGCGCGGCCAGGCGCCGCCGACGGTCGCGGCGTACTTTGCTGGTGCCTCGATGGTGGCTCTTCCAAAGAATGACGGCGGCCTGCGCCCGGTGGCCGTCGGCGAGACACTCCGCCGCCTGGCGGGCAAGTGCCTCTGCAAGGAAGTTGCCGAGGCTGCCCGCGACCGCTCGGCGCCCCTCCAGGTCGGCGCGGCTGTCCCGGGAGGCGCGGAGGCGGCCGTCCACGTGGCCAGGCAGTGGTTCACGCGCAACCAGGCCGACAGGGACAAAGCCTTCGTGAAGCTGGACCTCTCGAGCGCGACCAACACCTTGGACCGGAGAGCTATCCTGAGAGCTGTACACGAGGACTTTCCAGCGCTGGCACCGTGGGCGGACTGGTGCTACGGCAGCCCCTCGCATCTCTTCCTCGGCAAGCCGACGGTTCGCTCCGAGTGCGGGGTCCAGCAGGGCGACCCGCTGGGCCCGCTGCTCTTCTCCCTGGCGCTCCAACGCGGCGCGGAGACGGCGCGCCGCAGCCTCCAGGAGCTCGCGCAGGACGCCGGCCTGGACCTCGTCTTCTTCTACTTGGATGACGGCTGCGTGGCGGGCGACAGACAGGCCGTGGCCCGCTTCCTGCACCTCGTAGTGGCCGAGCTCGCAGCAGTTGGCCTCAACCTCAGCACGGGGCCAGGCAAGTGCGAGGTGGTTCCTGCGGCGGGGCCAGACAGCAACGCGTCCGCGGCCGACTTCCCGCCCGGCTTCCGACTGCGCGACGACGGCTGCTTCGAGCTTCTCGGCGCGCCTACCGGGGGCGACGAGTTCTGCCGCCAGCACGCGCAGAAACGGGTCAACAAGGCAGCGGAGCTCCTGGACGCGCTGGCAGGCTTGGAGAACGCGCAGGTTGCTCTGCACCTTCTCAGGCAGCGCGCCTCCTACTGCAAGCTCGGCTACTCGGCGCGCGTGGTGCCGCCCTCCGCCCACGCAGAGGCCCTCCTGGAGATGGACGCCGCCGTCCGCTCTTGCTTGGAACAGCTGGCTTGCGCCTCGCTCGCCGACGACTCCTGGGCCCAGGCGCAGCTCAAGCTGAACAAAGGCGGCCTGGGGCTGCGCTCCGCCGAGAAGCACTCGCCGGCCGCCTACCTCTCCTCGCGCGCCAAAAGCAGCGAGCTCTGCCGGTCCATGTACGCGGGCTACGCAGACGACGACGCGGGCGACGCAGGGGCCCTGGCCACGGCGCTCCAGCTCCACAACGCCAGCGTGGCGGAGGCAGACCGCGCCCCGCGCTTCGACACCGAGACGCACTCCAACCAGAAGAATCTCTCGGACAGGGTCGACGACGCCTCACGCGCCGCCCTCTGGAGCCGCTCCTCGCCCGCGACGCGCGCCCACCTCGCCCTGGTGGCCGCGCCCGGCGCCAGCGCGCACCTGCAGGCGCCCCCCTGCGAGGCTCTCGGCACGGCGGTCTCTCACGGCCTGATGCAGATCGGGATCAAGCGGCGGCTCAAGGCCCAGCTGATGGACGAGGAGGCGTTCTGCCCGGCGTGCGGGGAGGTCATGGACGTGACCACGCCTTGACGTGCGCCTGCCAGGGCGACCGCACGCGCCGCCACAACAAGCTCCGCAACGGCGCCTTCTTTGACGCCCAGGCGGCTGGCTTCTCGGGGGCGGAGCTGGAGCGGCCCGGACTGCTGCCACCGCGGGCGCCGGGCGAGGGGCCGAGCGCGGAGGAGCTGCACGGCGACGGCCTGGACAACGACGGGCGCCGCCCGGCGGACGTTTACGTCCCCCGGTGGCGCGGCGGGCTCCCGGCCGCCATGGACTTCGCGGTCACGTCAGGCCTGCGCGCCGACCTCCTGGCGCAGTCCGCTGCGGACCCAGGCGCTGCCAACACCGGGTACGAAGAACAGAAGAGGCAGCACCAGGGCACGGCGCAGGCCTGCCGGGACGCCGACGTCGTCTTCATCCCGATGGTGGTGGAGGCGCACGGCGGGAGCTGGGGCGGCGAGGCGAGGCGCGCCTTCGCCGCGCTGGCCAAGCGCGTGGCCGACGCGCGCGGGGAGGAGGCCGCCGGCGTGGCGGACAGGATGGCCCAGCGACGCTCCGTCTCCCTCCACAGGGAGAACGCGCGGGCCATTCTGGCGCGGTTGCAGCAGCAGCGGCCCGGGGCGACCGCGGCCCGCCTAGCTGCGGCGGTGGCGGTGCAGGCGGCGGCGGCGGCGGCCGTCGCGTGAGGCGCCGAGGAGGGCGACGAGGCGAAGGAGGAAGAGGACGAGGACGAGGACGAGACCACGAGGAGGTGACTGAGGAGCGCCGAGGGAGCCCAGAGGAGGCAGGGAGAGGAGAAGGAGGAGGAAAAGGAGGAGGAGGAGGAGGAGGAGGAGGAGGAGGAGGAGGAGGAGGAGGAGGCGGAGGAGAGCGAGGCGAGAAGTGAGGAGGACGGCGGCGAGGAGAGGCGCGGCAAGGATGCGACTGGCCGTGCTACGGGACGGCGGCCGCGAGGCCGGGGAACGGCGGTGCCCCCAGTCGCCGGGGGCGTCCCCGAGGCGGCCCAGAGGAGGGGACCAGAGGAGGCGGAGGAGTGCGAGGCAGGCCCGAGGGCGAGGGAGAGGAGGGCGAGGAGGCGGAGGAGGTGGAGCAGGAGGGCGGGGAGGAGGGGGAGGAGGCGGCGCAGGAGGGCGAGGACGTGGAGGAGGCAGAGGCCGACGCAGGAGGAGGCCCAGGACACAGGACGAGGACAGAGACGAGGACTCAACGAGGGGAGACGTCGTCTGCGACGAGCAGCGCGCGGCCACCAGCACCGTCGCCAAGAACGTGCTGCAGTGCACGAACTTCTGCACAGGCTCCAAATTTGTCCAGTGGGCCGACCCGAAAGTCTTGGCGGATGGCGCCTCCTGCCGCTGTTACGAAGAGAACCAGTGCGAGATGACTCGGGCAGCAGCCAGCTTGGACTCGCGCGCCAGGGTGTACAAATGCTACGACAAGTGAGCCCGGCGGCAACGGCCCGGGAAGCTCGGATATGTTGCGCGCGAGATGGTCTGGCCCGCTCTGCCTGAGACGTTTCGGAGTACAGGGGCTCCAACAAAAAAAAGAAGGGCCCAAAAGGGGGAACACGAACCGACAATTCGAGCCTTCCGCCCCAAGAGGCTCCCAGGAGCCCCCCTGGAGGCCTGGCCCCCTGGAGGCCCCACGAGGCCCCAAGGGGCCCCCAGGAGGCACCCAGACGGCCCCCAAGAGACCTCAAAACTGCCTCCAAGAGACCCCCGAGAAGCCTCTCACGATATACAAACGAACGTCCAAGAGGCATTTGACCCACAACCCAGGCACGGTGGCGGGATGGGCTGAATGCTATTGTACATATACGTGGAACATATGTACACAAATACGTAGATACCTACCGACATACCCACCTACACACGTACATACATACACATACAGACACACATGCATGCATGTATGCATGCATGCATGCACACATATCAATATATACGTGCATCTATATTATATATAGAGAGATGCACCTGTCTGTGATGGGTGTTGGCATGGTGTTATACGATCTGAGTTGACGTGATATGACATGGTATGATGCGATATGGTATGATGTGATATGATATGAAATGATATGATCTCAACTTGTATGACATGTTGTGGCGTGATGTGATATGTTATGGCATGGTATGATCTGCTATGGTTTGAATTGTTCTGGTACGAGACAATATGACACATCATGCTTATATCCCCGCCGCCGTGCACTAAATGAGGAACGAGTTGGAGTGTCCTCAGGTCCTTTGCCTAATCACTTAAGCCTTCGAGTCCTTAATCCTGAGGATTCTTAAACGGGCCAGGACCCCTAGCTCTCAAATCTCTTGGGGTTCCCCGCGCGCCCTCTGGGCTCACCCGAGTGGTGTCGCATGACCTTTTCGAGGCGGGGCCCAAGACGGGCCAAGAGGGTCCCAAGAGACCGCCCAGACGGTCAAAGGGCCACACAGACAAGGAAAACGCATGTGAAGGCTTTTGACGCTTTTGGGACCTACACAAACCTCCGAGACCTCTAGTGGCCTCTGGGGAAAGCCGGGTACCTCCAAAGACCTCTGGAGGCCAGAGTCGCCGCACCCGTCGTGGTCGTCATCGTCGTGGCCGTCGTCGTCGTCGTCGTCGTCGTCGTGGCCGCTGTCGTCGTCGACGTGGCCGTCGTCGTCGTCGTCGTCGTCGTCGTCGTGGTGGTGGTCGTCGTCGTCGTCGTCGTTGTGGCCGGCGTCGTCGTTGTCGTCGTCGCCGTCGTCGCACGCGGTGCCCGCGGGATCGCTGGTCGGCGGGGCGGGCGCGGGCGCACTCCCAGGCCTCCTTCTCCTTGGGCTTCTCCTTGGGCTCCTCGTCCTCGTCGTCGCCCCAGGACGCGCCTCCCCACAGGAGAGCGGGGAGGCATCCCGTTCTACAGCGCAGCGCTCAACGGCACGCCGCACAGGGGGGATGGAGTGAGCTTGTATCGGGGGACGCGTAACAGTGGGGTCGAGGCAGAGGTGGGGTTAGAGGAAAATCGTTCCAAATGCCCCCGGAAGAAGGACATGTGAGCATCCAGCTGGGTTCGCTTCCTAACCCCCTCCCTGCGAACCCCCGACTGTATTGCTTCGCGGAAGTAGCCTGGAACCACCCGGATCGGGCCCCATGTTGGCCGCAAACGACATGCACTTCCCTCTTTTCCGCCCACTGCTCGTCCGCATCCTCCTCCCGAGCCACTGCAACTGCAGGGTGCGTCTGCCACGAGATGCTTCCTGGAGGTTGCGACGCCTGATGCGTCGGATCTCAGGGAGTGGTGTAATTCCATAAGGAGAGCGGGACGGGAAAACGCGAAACTAGAAGGGCATGCAATGCAGAACACGACTGAAATGCAGAAGCACCTGCGGCGGAGGTAACCACGACTTGCTGCTCATGGCAGCTGGCGACGTGCGCATCACACCCTCGCTGAACCTCCCCAGCCCGCTCCCTTCTCACACGCGGAATCCTAAGCTCAACCTCTGGCAGCCAGAATACAGCCAAAGCTCGAGCCCGAGCATCAACCTGCAAGCTCAGGCTCTGATGCTTAGCACCCCATCCTGCGCCGCCGCACAGCTGGGACACTCATCTCCTCCGCCTGCGTGCCCTGCTTTTTAGGTGGCGACATCCGAACCCTACCCCCACCAACCATCGATTCTCCTGAATCGACGGGAAGCGGGAGTAGGGTTGAATTTCGCCACGCGTTCGACCAACTCCGAACCTTACCTCCGCCGCCCATCGAGACGCCCGAATCGTTGGTCGGCGAGGGTAGGGTTCAAATCTGGCCGCCGACTCTGGCTGCTCGCTCTCTGGCTCGTGCCCCATCGGGCCCTCCTCCTGCCCTTGCGCCGCATCCTTGCTCCGCCTCCCTGTTCCGCCTCCATGTTCCGCCTCCCCCCCCACAAGGGAAGGAGGAGGAGGAGGAGGAGGAGGAGGCGGAGGAGGGGGGGAGGAGGGGGGGAGGAGGAGGAGGACGAGGACGAGGACGAGGAGGAGGAGGAGGAGGAGGAGGGAGGAAGGAGGAGACGGGGGGGGCAATACAAGCACAACAGCAAGGACGCGGGAACCGAGGGCGCCCCCCCGCCGCAGCACCTGCAGCGGCGCCGGGCCAGACCACGGGACCCGACGGACGGGGGCGCAGCTGCGGACGAGGAAGGGGGACTGGGGAAGAGGACGAGGAAGGGGGAGGAGTGGAAGGGAAACAAGACCTCGATAGAGGACGGGGAGGAAGGAAGGACAGACTCAAGGAGGAGGAGGAGGAGGAGGACGACGACGAACGCTGCGTGCTCTAGCATGAAGTCCGATCAACGTCAAAAATGAGGAGGAGGAGGCGAGCGGCGCCTTCTTGGACCGTGGAGGTTCCAGTGCCCGCAGCATCGAGGCATCGAGGAGGAGAGGCGGAGGAGGGGAGCCGCATCAGCAGCACCAGGGGGAGCAGGGAGAGGATCGGCCCAAGAGGGTCAGCAACAACAAGAGCTGGGAGCATGAAGCGCAGAGCATGCAGTCGCCGACCGCCGCAGCCCTCCTCCTCCCCCCCCGCCCCTGTGAGCCTTTGCTCTTCTTCGCCGCGGGAGCTTTCTGCAGTCCAGGCGCCTGGCGATGCAGCGCGGGCCTCCACATCCTCCACTCCCCTTCCTCATAAGTGACTCCTCCAAGTCGTACCCCGAGGCCAGTCGAAAGGGCGGGCCGGGCGTTTCGCTTCAGATTTCCTCACCATTAATAACCTGACGCTCAGAATTTGCAGAAGTTTCAGGGGTGGAGGGCGGGTCTTGTTCAAAATGTGGCTCTCGCCTTAGCGCCGCGCACATCCGTCCTGAAAGTTGCAAGAGCTTCATGGATGGAGGGCGTGCCGTTTTCAAACTGTGGCTCTCGCCTTGGCGCCGCGCACGGTCGTTTTGACAGTTTGCAGGAGCTTCGCGGATAGAAGGAGGGCCGTTTTCGAACTGTGGCTCTCGCCTTAGCGCCGCGCACATTCGCATGCCAGAATTGCATGCGATCCACGGATGGAGAAAGGATCTTTTTCAAAACGTGGCTCTCGCCTTGGCGCCGTGCACATTCGTTCTAACATTCTGCATCAGTTTCAAGAATGTTCATGGTCAGCGCCCCAAAATAATGTTTTGGCACGATGTCGGACTGTCAGGGCGCAACAGTTCATTGATTGGTGTTTGAAGTATCAGGAACGGTGTTCTGGCGTAATTCAGAATCGTCAAGACGCAACAGGAATAGTGATTCGCGGCGCTGGAATCGTCCCATGAACGATGTTTTGGCCCAGTTCAAGTTTTTCAAACGGTTGTTTCCCCACGGGGCACTTCCTTCAGTGAAGACGAACCCTTGTATGGGGCAGATAAGGAGAGAAATTGCAGGGATGGTTTACTGCGAAATCGTTGATGAGTTTGGGGTTTACACTGGTTCTCCTCCTCCTGCTCCTCCTCCTCCTTCCCCCCTTCATCGTCCTCCTCCTGCTCCTCCCTTTGCTCCTCCTCATCTTCCTCCTCCTCGTCCTCCTCGTCCTGCTCCTCCGTCTCCTCATCCTCATCCTTCATCCTCCCTCGTGCGTATCCTGCTGTACAATTAAACACTATAAATACTTCTCTCGTTTCTCCCCTGGCGACATCCGGGAAATATTCGGCCCCCCTCCGCGTACTGGTTTTTTACACACAAGATTCCCAGGAAACGGGTTTTCGCTACGATGTTTCTAAAAATGCTGCTTGCGCTGGAGTGCTGGCCTCATTGTCGGGCTACCGTTCGTTCCGAATCGTGCTCCTGCTGCAGCGCTGGCCTCATTTCCGCGCTTCTGCTCGTTCCTAATCGTGCTCCCGCTGCAGCGCTGGCGTCATGATTTCCACCGCCATGCCACGGCATCGTTTTCGGTCCTTCCAAATAGGCCCCAAAATCTAAAACATGTCTCCCCGAAACAACCATCTGAAGTGATTACACATTCGGTGTGCCATGCTATGTCAGGCTACGCCTTGATACTCAACACCATACCACGCCATGTGATGCTATGCCCTGCTACGACATCCGACTGTGCGAAGCGAGAGGAGATCTACGCCATGGTAAGGGAAGGGAGGGAGGGGTAGGACGTCAAGTATGACGCGAGCGCACCTAGCTCGTCCTGCACCCCCTCTCCCGTTCCCGCTGTCGCCGCTACCCCCCCGATGCCCCCAGGGGTCCCGAAGTCCCTGGAGGTCTCCGGAGGCCCCCTGGAGGCATCCCGAAACTCCCAGGGCGCACACAAGAGAGCCACAGAAAGATGCCTGGAAACCTCGACCTCGATCGTTGTTCCACTCCCCCACCGTCTCCCGCGCAGCGTGCTGCCCCGTCCTCTATGCCCCGTCCTGTGCTGGCCATCGCTCGGACGCCCATGCCCTGTGTATGTTTTGCTTTCGCACGTGTATGCTTCGCAAGATGGTCCAGGGTGTTCCTCGACGGTCCTCGCCGAGAAGACATGCGCACGTCCAAGCGATGCCAAGTCGTTGTTCCACTTCACCCCCCTCCTCCTCCTCCTCCTCCTCCTCCTCCTCCTCCTCCTCCTCCTCCTCCTCCTCCTCCTCCTCCTCCTCCTCCTCCTCCTCCTCCTCCTCCTCCTCTCAAGCGCATTCTGGCTCAGGTTTTCCACCTGGTCAGTCTCACTTTGTGCTGGACCATTCGTGTGCTCGCTTGAGCGCCGCCCGCCAGGCGGTGAAAGCAAGGTATCATCATTCCAACGCCAGCGCCATGGTGCCGCCTCCGCCTGCTCCTCCCGCTGGTGCTCCTAACGGCGCGGGGTGGGCAGCCCCCTCGGGGCAACCCGACGGCACGGGCTGGTCTGCAGGCCACGGGAGCAAGGGCTGGACGCAATGGCACTGGCACCAATACCAGCGTGGCCCACCGTGGCGCTGCACATCATGTGGTTGCAAGAAGAGCAAGGCCAGCAGGTGGTTCTGCAAGCAGTGCAAGACCCCACGACCTCACCTCGAAGCCCAGCAGCCTCCTGTACCAGGCGGAGTTTGGCCTCAAGGCCAAGGAGGTCATCAGCCAGCTGGACAGCCACTTCCTCTTCGTGCTGGACCTCAGTTCATGGCTCAACAGCCAGTGGCAGTGGAACAGACGGAACCGACCACTGCGGAGCTGGAGCAGCTCATTCGTTTACTCGAGAAGTGCGGGGACGTGCAGGGGGCAGCCAGGCAGAAGGAGGCCCTCGCCACCCGCAAGAAATCTATGGAAGTGGAGGTGCCCCTCAGTCAGCAAGTCAACAGAGCCTTGCAATATCTTCGGTGCTGCAGAGACCGCTGTGACAAGGCGTGCTCTCATTATGATCGATTGGCTGAGGAGCTCTCGATGCAACAGTCTAAGGTACGTGAATGCTCGGAAGCTTTGGCTCTGGCAGAACAGAAGCATCAGGACTTGGTCGCCAAACTCAACGCATCGACTTGCAAGAAGCCCAGCAGGCTCGATATCAAGGACATCCTGGAGTGCAACTACCAGGACATTCTAATCAGTGTTGATTCATTGGTCGATCCCACCTCTGAATACTATGAGATTTCGCTGCAGGAAAGAGATGAGATCGACAGCCGAGTTGCCAAGCTTAAGGAAGCCCTTTCAGCAGTCTATCAAGGACCTCTTCGGTGGCATGGTTGAGCACTTCAAACAATTCCAGGCGCAGCATGCCCAGGAGGTCAAGCGCATGGCGGGCAAACGTCGCTGTGTGCGTGAGGGTGAACAGCCACCAGCCGACGGTCCTGCTGATGAACAGAAGGCGGAGTCTCCCGAGGGCACCACCGGTGGCGCAGCGGCGCCTCAGGCTGCCCAGCAGCCTGCGGCTCAGGCGCCTGCCGCCCCTGTGCAGCCGCCTACTCCGGGTGCTGGTTCGGGGGCTCCGCCTACGGCACCTTCTTCCGCGTCGGCTCTGTCTTCTGAGGCCCTCGCCCCGGGAGCTCGAGCCGCCGAGATTTTACAAGCCAAGCCCCCCGCTGCGGCTGCCGCGGCCCTCGTGCAGCCCAGCGGGGGGGCCCCAACCACAGCGTAATGTCACCCTGGAGGTCCCATTGGGGCCCCGACCTGAACCCCTCTCCTGGGCCTTCTCCTCGGGCCACCCTCGGTCCTCCTCCTCCTTTGGGTTCAGGCGTGGGTTCCCCCTCGAAGGTCAGCTGTTCGGATCACGAGTGGACATCTTCCAGCAGGTTTGCTCACCCAAGTGTTGGCGCCCACCGCGCGAGACAGGACCCAGTCGCCCTTGGTCTCGGTTTTGCGGGTCAGGCCTTTGATGGGCCCGACGATTTCTTCCTGGCCCATCACTGGGCGAGCGTGCCGTCTGATGTTGGGGTCGATGTTGGGAGTTTTGTGGATCTCAGTGGTCCGTCCCCAGCCCGGCCCTCTTTTCAGGCCCACCTCAAGGCCCTGCATGCTCGCGTCCGTGGGAGACTGCGCAAGGACCCCGCGGGCCCCCAGGTCTTCCAGGGCCCCGTCGAGGTCGCTTCTAATTTGGTTTCTGAAGGCCTGGCCGTGCCTTTAGCTGCCCCCTCTTACGGCCCGTCTGTTTGGAGCCTGGTTCCTGGTGGAGCCCAGCACGTTGTTATTCCGCTTCAGGCTATGGTTCTTGAAGCTCCTCGGATGCCTGCCGAGGTCGATGGCTCTCTTGGCCCGCCCCTCCGTACCCCCCCGAGTCCAGACGGGCCCCCCCGGGAAGTGCATGCGCCTCTCGTGGAAACGTGAAACGTCTCGGGCTGGGGCAGCGCTCAGAAGTGGTTGCTCCAGACCAGGGCGGACATTGTACTTCTTCAATAGCATCACCTGCGCTCTGACAATCTCGCGTCGGCTAGCAGTTGGCGTGCGCGCAATGGATGGAGCAGGTCGTGGGCCCGAAGGAGGTCTGAATGCTGGAGTCGCGGGGCTTGCCAGAGCTGGCCTAGGCATGTTTGATCGACCTTCTGGCCCTAAAATATGGCCGCATCGTGCAGTCGCCGCTGTTGTTCAGTTACCTGACCAACTCCAAGTTTTCTGTATTAGTATTTACCTCCACGACGCGGAGGGGCTGTCCGACAACGACCTCTCGATCATTGGCGCTTGTGGTGCCCTCGTGGGGACCCTGGGATATCCTGTGATCCTTGGGGGGATTTCAACATAAACTCTTCCCATATCGCGGAGATAGACCTCGACGGTCGCACCAATGGGCAAAGGATTGTTCCTGATGGCCACACTTGCACAGGCACTGGGGGAGTTAAGACTTACGATTACTTCTATGCGAGCGCCGGCCTGTGCAAGGGCTTTTCAGGAGTTCAAGTCGTTCGGGATAGCGATATGTCTCCGCATTTCCCTGCGCAGGTCCAGTTTCATCCTCGCCTATCTAATATCAAGGCTTTGGGGTTTAGCAAACCAACCCCCATTCCCCACAAGCCCCTTCCTCTGATTTGTTTTCTGGCCCCCTTTTCGGGCCTGGGGGGTGGTTTTGCTCGCCTCAGTGCCCAAGCATTTCAGTCTGCCGACGCGGGGGACTTCGCCGCCGCGCAGGACGCGCTCGATCAACTGCACCGCCAATGGGCGGATGCGGTCGAAAGGGCTCTCCTTTCGGTCACGGGGGCCGCGGTGCCCTTAGGGGTGCTACGGGTCGGGGC